AGTTTTTATGTTTATGGAAGGCTATGAGCCTGCTGCTCTCAGCTAACGGACACAAACGCATGTGAGCTCAATGCTATTATTCTCAACTTCTTTCACATCCAGTCACGACACTGACTTCACACTGGCTCTTTGAACTCGTCCAGCTTTTCCTCCCTGGGGCTTCCACTCGCGCTGTTCCCTCTGCCCAGAGCACTGTCCTCCACCCCGACCCCTTTTCCCATGGCTTCCTTTCATTCAGCCTTAAGGTCTTAGAGTAAATACAACATCCTCAGATGTAACTAACTCTGTGTCTAGGAGAGCTTCCTCTCAAAATGTGTAACACAATTTGCAATTACGTCATTTGTATGTTATTTTTGGTTGTCTCCTGAGTCTGGCATTAAGCTCCATACTGGGCAGGGACCTGCTCTGTCTTTTCTCTGCCTTTTGCATGTTTCTGTCTCTGATCAGCTAGCACCTAGTAAGTGCACGGTTAAACCTTGGCTGAACGACCCTGGCCAGGTGACTTGGGGGGTTGCGGGTTCAACCCATGGTCGGGACATGCGAGAGGCAGCCAATCTGTTTCTCCCACATCAGTGATTATCTCTTTCTCTCTCTCCCTCTAAAAATCAACTTAAAAAAAAAAAAGCAAACTGTCTGCTGAAGGAATCAGTGAATGTGAGCTGAGTTGGTAGCTGTGCACACTGAGGTTTGGAGAAGTTAGATAACGAGCTCAGTGTCAGCCAGCCAGGGAGTAGACTCAAGCGCAGGTCTCCCTGACTCCAGAACTGCTCCCGTTAGCACCTGGGGGAGTGGCCGGGTGGGCTTCTGGGAGGGAAAGTGGTGGGAGGATTTCCAAAGTTCCCTCCCACTCTACATGTCCCTACAACACCAAGAGAATGCTCACCCCCTAAGGAGCTTCCAGTACCCTCTCCCCACTCTGCCTTGATGTATTCTAATTACAGGGCCAGGCCCTTGGCTGTCATACGCTGAAGGAGTTGATTTCACACTCTCAAATACAGAATCAGCCATCCCTGTAATATGTTATTCACCCAGCAGGATCTGAGTCTTCCAGTGTTATATAGATATTATCGGTTTAATCCTCACTTCATGATATCACTGAATTTGATATCAGTCACACAGTATGATTTCGCTTTAATCAGTAAGGACTGTGGGGAAAGGAGAAAGTTAACCAGAAATCCCGTGGGCATCATATTTAACTCTTGTATAAGGCCATGTTTGCAGAACTCAACAAAGGTTAAAATAAAACAATTGTGATGTGCATGGTATCAATAGTCTGATGCCTTCTTTCTGTGCATCAAGCATTTTGAACTAGTTAAATACATAATTATCATTCCATCTTAAGTTCATTACATAGTAGTATTAATAATATATCACTGTATATGAGGCACTTTAAAATAAGATGGAATGCCAAGGCTAATTTCCCTGTAGCCATGAAGTACTGAAATCATTTGTCTTTATTCCCTCTACTCTAACTCACTATACTTTCATGTTTCAAATAATTTTTAAAAAAATGAAACTGTCAAAGACATTATGCTATTCAGCCACATCTTCAATAGTGGAACATAATGCTAACCACACACAGACCCTTGCCCCAGAGAAGTGCACGTGTGCAGATACTGTGCAAATCTCTGCATGAACTGAGAGGGGCTTCGCATGAATACACACTCCATCTCACTCCATTCTCTCCCTGATTCAGAAAGACACCAAGGATTTCCCTGTCTTACAGGTGAGGAAGCTTGGCCAGGGGAAGAGCTATCTCCACAGCCATACCACAGGGCTTTGGCTTCCATTACTCCATCCCTTCTTCTGGAAGAAGACATGCCGAAGGTGCCATCATGACAGGCCAGGGCTGAGAATCCAGTATTATACGATGAAATCTAGATCTCAGCATTGAACAATTCAAATCCCTACCTCTTTATTCCTACCAATACAAAGAGCTGCCAGAAAGAGAATTTGGTCATGAGAAATAAGCAAATGCATCCACAGGGGTAAAGATCAGGTTCCCTCTGGCTCCAGTGTTCTGCACGCATCACCCCCAGCAGTGGGTCGCAGTAGCTTCTGAATGCCTCCTCCTGCCCCATCGGTGAGTCAAACCAGGAAGAAAAGCAGAAAAGGCAAACATAATCACTTTTTCTGGAGGTTGGCTCAGTGAGGTTGATGGTCGTATAGATAGGCTAGAGATGAATAAGTCTATATTTCCTATTTTATGGCCTAGAGCTTCTTACGAAGGAGCTCATTCATGTCTTTTTACGTAGTAGCATTTGATAACATGTATTGAGTGCGTGTTCTGTGCCAGGAAATGTTCTAAATGTTTTACACACATTAACACATAGAAACCCATTTTTTTCTTACCATATCTACTATAGTTTTTTTTGGCCAAGTTATTTTCATTTTTAAAAGAGTGATTTCAAAAACTAACAACTTAAAACTGCCACACATACAAACTTGATCCACAAAATACGGCTTTCCCTGTGAAGCAATGTATCATTAACCAGTCTTTTCCTAGTAGAGTTAAATGGCCAGTTGGGGTGAACAGTGCCGAGGCTGTTCTTTCCCCACGGAGTGAGGAGGCAGGTGTCGTGGAAAACACCTTTCGCCTCTGAACTTGCTGAATTCACAGGCCTGCAACGTTGCCACCTCCAGTAGACTTCTTCTCTACAGCGACTGCCTGATTCATATGCTGAACAGCAAAATGACCAGAGGACTCTTTATTAGTGCAGTTTTACTGATGAGGAAACCAAGGCAAGGGAACTTAAGCAGCAATGCCAAGGTCACGTTTCAGAGCCTCGATACTTAGAGTTAACCAGAAATCCCGTGGGCATCATATTTAACTCCTGTATAAGGTCATGTTTGCAGAACTCAATAGAGGTTAAAATAAAACAATTGTGACGTGTATGGTATCAATAGTCTGATGCCTTCCTTCTGTGCATCAAACAGAAGGAAGGCGTTGTAAGGAAACAATAACTCCTACAGAAATGCAAAGTGAGCTAGTGTTTCTAATAGGAAGCCCAACCTACTGCAAGAAGCTGAATTCCAGATGTTAAAATAAAATACATGGAAATATCACAGCATGGGTTAGTGCGTTAAGTGCACTTGACTGACTTGTCTTTGGAAATAGCCAGGACATTCTTTGAACTTAGCTGCAGTAAGTGGACACATTTAGCTTTTTCTTACTTGCCATCTGGCTATGCCTACCCTCCCAGATATATCTTCTTTCTTGAACACGTCGTTGAGATTCTGCTTTTAAAGTCCAGTGCCTAATTCGCACAGATCCATGTTCTACACCAGGCTAGACCATGATGTTAATTGTTAACCAGTTCAACCTTTCAATAGTTGACTTAGAGAAAGCAAGTCACCCAGCGATGCGACCACTACTGAGGCTCACACTCTTGTGCTCTGAGTGGCACCTTAGATACTCACATACTTGTCTCAACCCTTCAGGTCTAAAATTCTTTGATAAGAAAAATTCAAATATGTACTAATGCAAAATTGCTATTCTCTTTACAGCTAATGTTGACCTCAACTAAAGGATTAACTTACAATTTATATGTCGGGAACTGAAAATTCTGTCAAACTATCAAGTTGAGGACATAGGATGACACTATGTTCTCTAGACACCGAGGCAAACAATATTTTTCTTCTTTTTGTATCGGTACAAATTGTTATAGGTTTATATAATGGTGCTTTGCTAAAAGTGTTTTTTATCACCTGCAGCATTTTGGGGATGTTGTCTATGAGATTTTCATGACTTGGAAGTCCCCACAAGATGTGTGTACTTTTCAAGGGGTTCTGCAATAGGCCACACTGTCCACATTGATTACCCGGGCTCCTCACCGCAGCCCGGCTGTCAGCGTGTCCCCACCACACATGCAGATGGTGCCTCTCACTCGTACCTGAAGGCGTATGTGGGAGAGTAATGCAAACCAAAATGGAGTGGGACGGATGCACTGGAAGAACTAATGCATCTATTAGAGAAAACATCACCCAGGGATGCTGCAAGTCTTGCTTTCTTTGCTTTAACAAGATTTTAGTGGTATTGTTGAAAAAATCTATATTTGAACATCATCCTGTATGTCTGAATCATCTCAGAACTCAATACTTTTCACTTAACACTCTTACAAAGCTTTCTTTTTCTTCATAATTTCTATGAAATGTCTGAATGGAAGGATTTAATGGAAAAAAAAAAAAAAACCCACATCTCTAAAAGGCATTATATTAAAGATGTGAAGAGAAAGAATAATTAAAACACACACACAATTTTTCTATTTAAAATTAATAAACATAAAAACATGTCAACTGTGTAGACAGATCCGTTTGTTTCTGGTATTGGTGTTTTTAGGGATTAAGACAAACTGGTGGTACAAGCCGTAAGTAAGCTCCAGTTGTAAACACATCATGGTAATTGCCCTTAAGTGCATAGACTGAGTTTTGTCTTCTGGGCAACTGGAAAAGAGCTTGCCTTATTATAAATTAAGTTATTGTCAAAATAATGCAAACCATTGCTTTCACATACCTTATCTCGTTTAAAACTATTATAACAATAAAACTTTTGATCCTATCTTTTTAAAAATCTATTTATTACAAAAGACAAACATGATTATTGTAGAAAAACACAGATAAACAAAAAGAAGAAAGCAAGAGACACCCCAAATTCTTCCCACCTGGAGAAACCCATCATTAATCCCAGGATGTGCGTAGCTTTCTGGTCTACCTTCTGAGGAAGGACAGCTCTTCACACTCTCAAACATAGATATTTTGTCCTTGTGTTTAATTTGTCTCCGAGCGAAATTACTCCAGCTTGCCAGACTAGTTTTTCAGATCCCTCCTCCCCATTCCCCACCATCAGTCTGGCCTTCATCATCCAACCTGAACGAAACTTGGTGCTGTTCTTTAGAAGAACCACAGCCTCTTGCAATCGAGCCACTTAGCTCCTGTTGATATTTCTCTCCGGATCAGCATCAGTCTAATAGCCGCTTTCTCTTCTGTTCTGTTCTTCACAGCTTTTTGCAATCTTTGCATTTGCAACATGCGGTGGCTATTCCGGAGGCCTGCGGCTGAGTGTGGACTGTGTCAACAAGACGGACAGTGACCTCAGCATCGACATCGCATTCGCCTACCCATTCAGGTAAGGCATGGCGGCTCCTCCGCCCGCTGGCCGCAGAGAGGGTGCAACCTTCCTTCTATCGTTTCTCAAAAATAATGCCATCTCTCAGGGACTTCTGGGTAAACAGAAAGAATTGTTCCTGAGCCCACAAAATACCCAAACAAGTAAAATGCCCACCTCCCACCCCTCCCTGGGTGGATGTGTGAGTTGTTCCCTCAAACCAGAACTCACTCTACTCCAAAAAATATGCTACAAGTGGTCCTGTACTGGGGGCTAACCACATGCAGACCTCAGTTGTACAGTTTCTTGTTCCCGATCCACATTTTCCATCTTAAGGTCTCCCAAATTCTAAATAGTAGTGTCACCTCTAATGTCATATTGACTATGCAATGTTGGCTGATAATGTATTTAATAATATTGATATCTAATATTATTTCCATGTGCCGGACACTTTACTTGCTGTTTACTTGTTAGTCTCACTTAGTCATCACAATGACCTTTGAGAGGAGCACAGTTACCATCACCATTTTAAAATGAGGAAATGGAGGCACTGGTATGTTTGCTCACATTCCCTCAGCCAGTAGATGGCAGAGTCAGGGTTTGAGCCACCTGGTTTGAGACCAGAGCTCTTGCATGTATTGCTGTACTTAACTGGATTGAGATAATTCCTGCACTATCTGTATAAATTCAGTCTGAAAAATAATGATTTATCTTTGTCTTTGCCTTATCTATAAAATACATGCCAGGGCTTGTCCCAAATCGACATGTTGTGATTCTGATCCATATCCAGTGTGGATCAATTAAACTTAATCGTGAAATAGTTTATTTTTATAAAGCTCCCAAATTCTTGGCACCAAATAACTGGTGTGATTTTTTAAAACAACTCTCAACACAATGTTTGGCATATTACTTACTTCAATTCAGCCCGCATGCATCGAGTGGTCACCGTGCACCAGATGCCATGCTGGCCCTGGCACTGCAGGGAAACTGACCCCTGAACACCTTTCTTACACAGGCAGGTACAGGCTTTCCAAAGTCCCTTGCACGGAGCCCTGGATATTTCATGTTTCTAAGAAAGGAAGGAAGAAAAGAAAGAGGAAGCCCAAGGGGAAGAGAGAAAGAATTTAAAAATTACATAATCAAATAAGTTTAAGAAAGACTTCTTAGCACTTTGCCCTTTGAATGCACACTCTGAGTCACCGAGAGAAGCGACTGTTTCCCAGATGTGCCCACCACACAGCCCTTTCTCAGTGAGCACCTCGGGGGATGTGTATGTCCCTTAGTATACTTGCCTTGGGAGCTTTTCCTAATCGGTTCTTTCCCAGAACCGAAGTGCCTCAGTTCATAGGCCATGAATCACAGGGAAGTGGCATTTATACTAAACGCTTTGTACTCAACAGTTTTTAAAAGTAAAACTGATAAAAATTGAAGATGCCCCTACTCAAGTAGACACTCTCCTAACTAATAAGAGAATCCAAAGTTCAGGTTAATTAATTGATTAATCAAATTAAAATAACTTAAGCAGATATTAAGCAAAGAATCCCGAGTAATGTGTGCTGCTGGAAATGGGGTGGGGTGGACACCCGGAGTTCCGCGTGCACCCCTCGGCTTGGTGGAGAGTGGCCAGGCTAGGGTGAGCTCACTGCTCAACATGAGGAATCTAGGAGAGGAGGTAAGAACTGCCCATTTCTGGGCAGCAGGGGTTGGATGCTTAGCAACATTACTCAGGAAATTGTGATGTCTGCATTGCCTTCTACAAGGGTTTTCCATCTAGAGATGTGGTAAGAACAGATGACTGGGGAGTTAAACCCTTAAGGTGTAAAGAGCGACAGGTCACTGAACATGGAGCACAAGTCTCTGTCTCTCAGACTGGGAGAGACTAGTCAAGAGACCTGTCAAGACAGAAGGCCAGGGTCTGGGCTGGGGTAGGAGGGTGGGCAGGGGAACACTCAGTTTCATGCACTCTTGGGCAAAGTGTACAGTTTGAAAAGACCCTTTGAGAAAACACTTTCTAGTGCTGGGTTCTTCGTTTTCTTCCCAGGACATATCACAGGCCCAATAAAAATCAATTGGAGAAACTACGAAAATGTTTATTGCCATCTGTAAGTGTAGTGGCCCACTTATTTGACAGAATTTAACCTGGGTTCTGAAACAAAGATGATCAACCCCTGTTTTTTCAGCAGCAGAACTTTTCTTCCAAACATCACCTTGCTCAGCAGCTCTGCACAGACAACAGATGAGTCATTGAGAAAGTCAGAGCAGGGGAGAGAGGGGCGTGAAGCGTCCAGCTGCTCTTCCCCGGCCCCCTTCCTGCCGCAGGCATAGCCTCCCACCCCGGGTACCCTCCCTCACCCCCACCCACCCTGCTGCACCTCTCCTGTAAAATCTCTCAGAACGCTACATCTCCTAGAAGCAATTTAAAACCACTGTTCTAGAAAGAAAGCTTTTGCCATTGTGCTTACCACACCTGCAGAACATTTGTTGTCTGCTGTTCAGAAGCCTACTCACCGCGCAGAGTGCCTCGTAGCTTTGCCCCATTGGTGCCCACCTTGGAGATACACGTGCCTTTCCACAGAGACTCAGTTTTACTAGAGTTGCCATTTCAATTAGACAGTTGGGTATTTTTGAATGTTGGCTATTATCTTTTGGGGGAAGATTTGACTAGTAAGCGATGACATCTAGAATTCATACAGATAATGTTGAAGTCAATAGTTTCAGAAGAAGTTGGGTTAGCAAGATGCTCATGATGTGATTCATGAAAAGGTTATTTTCTCCTAAAACTTCACAAGCCAATGCCAATGGTTTTATCATAACCCAAAAATAAAGTAAGAGCATTCATCAGGCTCTAACTATTCAGTTTATAGCAAACACAAAGAAGACAATGAACTCTAATGCCAAGTCGAACACAAACAATTTCAGTAGCTCTCCCTTAACCTCAGAGGATACATCCCAAGACACCCAGTGGAGGCATGAAACTTCGAATAGTTCCAGACTCAATAAATATATGTGTTTTTTTTTCTATACATGCATACTTATGATAAAGTTTAAGTTATAAATTAGGCACAGTAAGAGATTAACAACAGTAGTTGAAAATAAAATGGGATGATGACAACAACGTACTGTAATTGAAGTCACCAGCGGCACTGGACTCGGGCTCTTCCTGTGCTGAAGTGAGGCGACGCGTGTCTGTGTGATGAGATGAAGAGACGGTCGTTAAGTAGAGTGAGGGCAACTTGAGCCCAAGCACGGCGATCCTGCCACAGTCAGGCTGACGACCCATCGCCTACGAGTAGCTGGGAGCATCCACAGGGTGGAGACGCTGGGCAAAGGGATGATTCGCATCCTGAGCAGGACAAAGACCGATGGCACCCTCACACTACTAGAGCAGCACGCAGTTTAAAACTCATGAATTGTTTATTTCTGGAATCTTCCATTTAATATTTTCAGGCCTAAGTTGACCATAGGTAACTGAAATGTGGAAAGCAAAATTTCAAATAAGGGACTACTGTAGTCTGTAAATGACATCAAAGGAAGCGACTTAACTTTTTTTTTATCAGGTTATCAGATGTAGGACAATGTCAATGTAGAAAATGTCAGGTAATTTGACAAATACGCATGTGCTGCTTCTGGTGATTATGCCAAACCGTGCACCTCCTTCACACCACCACCTGTACCCTTTAGACTCTATGAGAAAGGGTTTACATTCAGCCATATATCATTTTACTGCGGGAACAAAATGTTTGTCACCTAAACTGTCTTTTGATTTGTGGTTAGAATGAACAAGTAATATGTAGCTGTTTTCTCATCTACTAGAATGCACTAATTTGGTAAAAACTTTTTAATAATGGGGAAGACTTCTGGATTCGATACTTTTAGCAATTCTTTTATATGCAGAAGTGCAAAGTAGAGTTTCTTATTTTATTTTATTTTTTATTACTTATTTTAAAGAATGTAATATATTTGGATAGATCCTACTAAAAAAAAAACAGTGAACAGTTTGCGTTAATACATGAAAGATAGAGAAGGTTAGACTAGAGAGGTCTGGGACCATGGGAACAGAAATTTTCATGGCAAAGGCTAGTTTTGAAGGGTCACAGTGATGAATGAATGAACAGATATGCGAATATTGACCGCAGGCCTGTCATGTGCCGAACACGGGGGGGCCACTTTCAGTACGTTACATCATTAGACATCGCACTGTCTCTGTGAGCGGCTTGCATTCCTCAGACTGCGAACACTGAGCTGAGAGAACCGGGTCGAGATCACATAGAAAATCAAACCCACACTTTTGGATTTCATATATTCTACTGATTTGAATAAAAACAGGAGTTCACGCTCAATCTGTTGGAAGCTTGGTGAGTGGAGCAAAAATTCACGAGGGAGAAAAGTGATAACGTCAGAAAGGGAGTTTTTGGCAAGACTTTGAAAGACCGTGAGTTTCCAAGTTATTGAGTATGAAGAAGGAGTTAAAGATTACAAAAAGAGAATAATAAGGGAAACCATTTTGCAATGGAGAGTGTAGGTTTGGATTTCCTCATGCAGAGTTTGAGGGTTTTCTGTCAGGGACTTAACTGTAAACCCCATCATGTAGGAAGAGAAAGGAGAAACGGAATGGAACTAGAGTCATCCCCATGCGTGAGACGCAAGTCCTGGAGGAGGTGCAGTTACCGAGACAGACGAATGAGCGATGGGGCACCCCCACTGTGAGCAGTGAAGGGGAGGAGACACTGAGGGGGGCCAGGAAGAGCCAGATGGACAAGAGGTGGGACACCCAGGGAAATGTAGGCTTTACAGAAGGTAAGCAATCTTCACTAGTGGTACTGCTCAGTGCTTCAAAGAAGTACAGGAGCAAAAACCAAGAAAAGCCCAATGGATAGAATTGATGGTAGTTATATTAAGGACTTTTGTAAGATATGTCAGTGGAAAAAATAAGCATGCCGGGCTGTCGGATAGGAAATAGAATTAGGTATGTTTTCCCTCAGAAAAGTAAAATGCAAAATTCTATGGACTCTAACTATCTT